CAAGGACGGCAAGAAGAAACACTCTCGACCGACTTTCTCTGGGCAGCAGATATTTGCTTTAGAGAAAACCTTCGAACAGACGAAATACTTGGCAGGACCGGAGCGCGCCCGGCTCGCCTACTCCCTGGGGATGACCGAGAGCCAGGTGAAGGTAGGTCCATCCCGCGGGCTCCCTCCTCTCCCGCTCCCTGCCGCGGCCGCTTTCTGCTCTCTCGGTAATTGCCAGTGACCACGAATACGGCACAACCGTACAGGGATTTTTTAAAAGTCCTTAAGAATTTAAATTATATTTCGGTAGTGGGTAGATTTTAGGCCAATTTCTAGAGCTCCCTGTGCTGCAAACGATTTAATGTGAATAGACATAATATATTTCAAAGAGCCCAGCCCAACAACAATTAAAAAAAAAAAAAAGCTCCCCGCAGGTAATTGCTTTAAACGGCTCACTTTTCCACGAGGATCGTGTCCGCTGGCACAACTTTACCTTGTGTAACCCCACAAATTTTTTAGCAAAGCCCGCATGAGCATCTGAGAGTTGGGGTGTACCGGGAGCCAAAAATACTTATTTTTCTGCCCACCGTATCCTGTTTCCAAATTAACGACTGCTCTGCAAAGCTGCTGCTTTTATCGCCGCACAGCCCCGTCTGGCGACAGTCCCGCAGAGCTGGGCAGGTGTCCCTAGCCTGGCGTCCCCTCCCCGGAGCCGCTCGGGGCCCCGCCAGCCCCGGCCCAGTGCGGGCCTCGCTGCGGGACGGGTCGGGACGGCCGCGGGCAGGGGCGGGCGCGGCGGCGGGGCCGAGGCAGTTCCTAAGCCGTGCCCGGTGCCGGTGCCCAGGTGTGGTTCCAGAACAGACGGACCAAGTGGCGGAAGAGACACGCGGCGGAGATGGCCTCGGCGAAGAAGAAGCACGACTCGGAGACGGAGAAGCTGAAGGAGAGCTCGGACAATGAGGACGATGACGAATATAACAAGCCTCTGGACCCCAACTCAGACGACGAAAAAATCACAAGGCTATTGAAAAAGCACAAATCCACGAACCTGTCCCTTGTCAGCCCCTGCAGCACCAGCTCGGACACCTTGTGAGGGCACGGGGCCGACGGCCGCGATGGGGCGAGTGTAACTGGGTGTTTGAAGTGGTGTGTTGTACAGCCTGAGATGTATGTGAAATGTATATATATTTTTTACAGAATAAGTTATGAAATTATTTTCTTTCTCATCGATGTAAATTTCAGAGAAATTTTTCCAAATTTTTGGGTTTTATTTGTGTCCCTTTAAGGTTCCTGCTCTTTCCTTTAGCCTTCCTGCTGGTCTCCTGCACCTAACAATCAGGTTTTGTTATGTTTTCTATGGGTCGCCAAATCCAAGCTCAGCCACGTTGTATATAGTAAATTTCAGATTTTGTGATGTATATTTCTAGTGTAAAAACAGCAGTTTTCTTTCACTCCTTGTCCCTCAGTGTTTTGGCGGTTTCATTTCTCCTGCCTCTGGATTTTATGCTTAATAATACCAAAACCAAAAAACAACGCCCAAAAAAAAAGGACGAGAGAAAAATGGACATTTGATTTTGCATTGGGATCAAATAATGTCTCCACACGTGTTGGAAAGACTTTGTATAAATCAATAAATTATTTAACAAGCTTCTCCTTTAGCGACTTTCTTCCTGCATGTCTCGTTCTCGGTCCTGGCCCTGCTGCTCCTGGAGGCCCGGGGACCCCGGTGCTCCTGTAAGGTGCCCGCACCCCCCGTGCTGGGCGCTGTTCCGCGGGGGAAAAGGAGCCGCTGCGGTCGAGGGCTGACGGGCTGAGCCGGGAGTGCCCCGGGCCCGCTGGCATCGCCGGGGCCGCAGTCGCTGCCACACGGGAACCCGCCCTGTGGGACCTTCTGCCAGCCCCGGAGAGGAGAGACCCGCGAGCTGAACGTGCGGCCCGAACCTGCCGGGAGCGCTGGTCCCTGGCTCCCAGAGCGTTGCGGCGGGCGGGGATGGGGTCTGCTCCGGGGAGGAGAGGTGGAGGCCGGGACGCGTCCCTCGGCGCTGCCCGGGCCCCGGCCGCTGCAAAAACGCGAACTCGTTGAGATCCGCGGCGGAGGCCTGCGAGCTCCTCCGCCTTCCCGCCCCTTCCCGCTGGGATCCCGGGACGTGCCCGTGGGCCCTGGTCCAGCACCTGCGGGCGCGCCCGTGCCCGAACCGACCGCCGAGGCTCCGCGTTTGTCTCCTCGGCACACGCGAGGCCCGGTGGGTCTGAGCCGCCCGCGCCGTCAAGGTGCTTAATTTTTTTGTCAGTTAACGAGACGTTCTTTTCTTCCCGTGTCTCAGCTACGGCTTCGCAGTCCGAGCAAAGGCAGCGGCCGCACCGCAGGCACTGCCCGGCAACCAGCGCAGAGACACGAACCCCGGCGGGGCCGGGACGGCTCCCCGAGCGGTTGCGGGGCCCGGTCCTGCACCCTCCTTCCGCACCGCGGAGGGACGCGGCCCGGCCGCCCCTGCCCGCGCTCCCGGGGATGTGCCATCACCCCCGCGCAGATGCCGCGCACGTCGGGGCGTGACAGGGGCCCGCGTCGGTGGGAAGGGGCCCGGAGCGGCAGAGCCTGCCCCGGTCCCCGCTCCGGTGCTGTTCGGCGGCCACCGCTGGCGCTCCGCGCCCCTCCGGGCGGGGGTCGGGGCCGCCCCCGCGGAGCATCCCCGGTCCCGGTGCCGCCGCTCGCTGGGGCTGATTCCCCTGCGCTCCTGCCGGGGCAGCTCCGCGTCCCGGGGAGGGCGGGGGATCCCGCAGGTCCCTACGCAGTGAACGCGGCCGCGCTCGGTTGTGCCGCGGTTACGGAGGGAGCGAATCGAGTTTAGTGATTAATTTTCGTCCAGCTGTGAGCAGGCTGAGCCGGGGCGCTGGGACCGGGCTCCTGAGGGGAAATGGCTGGATAAAAACACCTGCGCTGGAGCCCAGTCCTTCCCACCTGCCCCTTCCCGCAGCTGTTGAACGAAACGGGCTCGGTGGTGGCCCCGCGTTACGGGACGAGGCGGCTCCGCTGGACCGACAGCCTGGGGACACGGCCCGTGCACCGGGATCGGTCCGGCCCGGCTCGGCTACCCCCGAGCCCCGGAGACGTCTCCGAGGCTGTTTAAATGCGAAAGCTGCGTTCCTCAACCTCAGGAGGTTCCGTTCGGGGTAGCTCTCCGAAGCTCCTGCGCCCCCGGAGGGGTCCGGGCCCCGGACGGCCCCGCGGCTCCCGGCTCCGGCCAGTTCATCCGCACACGAGGCTTCGGTCCCAGCTGGAAAAGGCTGCGGAGTTTTTTTCTGAAACTTCAGGTAACCACGAAGGAGTTTATGGTGGCACGTTTTCTGACCTGCTGGGGATTGGTATTTCGTGAACAGCTCGTGAAACTGCATCCCCCTCCATCAGCGCTCCCACAGCAGATCCTTTCCCTCGGTTTGTATTGTGATTCGATTAACACCAGAACTGCATCCTATCATACAGGTTTTCATGTGAAAAATAACCTTGTTAATTGGCAGGAGATTAACAGGTATCTCATTAATAAGAAATGTGACAATTTAATAATTTCCCTGTAATCCCCAATGCCCAAATTAAAGGGGCAGACACAGCCATGTTCACCATGATTAGTTTTATTGCTTGAGAACCAGAGTACTCATTTCTAAAGGCCTTCAAAGTTATCATGAGTTGAGTTCGCTTAAATAGAATTACTGTGTGGTTATAATGCAACATGGCACAATAACAATACAGAGCTGCAGACACCCTTTGGGCAACGATACTTGATATAAACCGGGTTGTGCTGTTGAGAAAACACTCTGCAAGCGGACATCAAATCATTTTCAATGGTAGTGATTTATACCAAAATTAAGCATCAATCTAATGCCATCACGTAGTCCATGAACTCTGTAGTGTTCTAAATTAAATCAATAAAACATACATTTGTGTTTCATCAACAGACTCCCTAATCACCTTTTAATGTTGTATTTAGTGGTGGGAGAAAAACGTCTGTAACAAGACTATATTGTAGGCTGCACTGAGCTACTAACCAGGAAAATTTACAGTAGGGTTGTTGGTTGTTGGTTTTTTTTTTCCTTTAACACTGTATAAATACAGTCTGTGTCCAATACAGTTGCTGCTTGAAGCAGACTATATTTTTCTTCTCCCGTGTTGTTATTGTTTCAATATAGAATACTTGGCACCAAAAAACAGTAACAAAAGACGGACAAAAACAGTTTACAAAATTCTGGAAAGTTACACCCAAACCTAGCTAAGAACTTCACATTCAATCCTTAATATTACATAGAAAGAAGGGATTATAGGAGTAACAAAGTGAAACTGCTAATATATGTGCTATATAGTATGCTATATATCTGTATCCAGGATGGCACTGCTATATATTATTTATTATATAAATGTTGGTTGTCAATGTACATTTAACTAAACCTGCTAAGACTCCAACACTAACTGCTGATATGGCACTCTCAAGCATTCATATTGGAAAGTATATTTAGCGTAAGTTTGGTCAGGTTTATAAATTATTTATATATCTGTGTATATATACACATACATACATATATATATACACACACATATATATGTATGTATAGAAAGCAGCTGCTGTGTGATTCAAAAACCATGTAACATGGCAGTATAGTAAATAAAATGAGAAAAAAATTATAAAAATGAAAAAACAAAATACTAAAACTAAAACACAAACCATAAGCCTTGGTCAACAAAGAAAATACCATTTAAAACCATCAATATCTCTATCTATACAATCCAATGTACAAAACCCCAAAGTGGTAAAGATATATAATGTTAGGCATGATACCTTTAAAAGTTTATAATATGCTGAAATAGCTTTTCCACATTGACAAACACTTATTAAAAGTTGAAAGTCGTGAAATCTAAAATACATAACATCTCTGCTGTCTATTTAGAGTTTTGGCAACAGAACTGTGACATATATATAAAAAATAATTCCACATTTCTACTTGATGTCACATGAACATACAAGACAGTGAGGTATGTGAGGCTTCTCTCGAACAGAGTCCAGATGCTGAAGCATAGTGTACGATCAGCAGTCTAAAAATGTGGCACTCGGGACTGGATTGATCAATACAGCTGTTGGGATTATGGATTTCGGGTGCTGCCTTCCCTCCTCCTACAGGGTGGTTTCACGGAAAATCTTCTCACTTCGTAGGCATCTTTTTCCTGTTGCAGAATTGGCATTTTTTTAAAAAGAAAGATAAACACAGGGGAAATGATGTAGAAAATATAAACGTAAAGGAAAAAGATGATATTTACCACCACATCACTGCACGACACAACACTTGTGCACATTTGCAATAGGTTTACCTGCCCCAGCAGCTATTCGAAAGGACAGGAACACAGGCTGCAGCAAGTTAGGGAAAAATAGAGGTTACACGTTTGAAATAGACACTTTTTTTTTTTTTTTTTTTTTTTACAGTCAGTAGCAAACACAACAAAATGTCGCAATAAGTTTTTGAATTAATCTATCTACAAAATGCACAAGGGTATGACATAATCTCCTCACAGATTTTTCTGCTCCCACTGAAACCTAAGGGACGATTTTCCACTGATTTCTCTGGGAAGAGAATCAGGTTCCACACACATCTCCCTCCTGTCACAGAATCAGCTCCACTGAAATTGCCATGCCACTTTGGTGACAAAGGAAAAAAAAAACCTGCTTTTTCTGAACTGGCTGTCCTGGTGCTGACACACTGAACTTTACATTTACTGAGTAAGTTAGTAAACTTCTGTATTTTAAAACCTGATTGGGCTGATTCTGGACCAATGCCTTAAGTGCATTCTTCCTTAGAAGACAATGCTCTGTCTCACAAGAACTCTGCCCATGGAAGTAAACAGGGGTATGTATTTGTGAGTATGGATTTATGTGTGCACACACACGTGTAATTACCCACTACCCCTCTCTGCATTATCATTCAGGAGCCTCAGTGCTGATTTTAGATGGGCTTTCAGAGGTTTCCTCCTACTCCTCAACTGGCTTTTTTTCTAAGAAAGTAAATACTCTGTTTTGAGGTATTTCTGACTTAGCTTTCCATCTGGCATCTTCGGCAGAAAACACTGCAAATTTCAGATATTTTTATTAATTTTAACAACAGGTATTTATGTAATTTTATGTATTTTTTCTATATTCTTTTTATCAGTTGTTGGTTGAATATGGAACTACCAATATGTTCTTTTACTAATAAGCACCTAGGCACCAACCTAACTGAGGCTACGATTTAGAAGCATCTCTGATAACCCAATAAAATTACTTTTGTTTTAGAACAGTTGTAAGTGCACAGATGGCTCCTCTTCACTTGCACCATATCCTGCTTTCATTCCTAGTGCCCATCATCCCGTTCTTTATTTGATTTCCATACAAGCAGCTACTCTGATACACTGGCTGATTTCGGCTGAATTCAACTTTGAAACATTTTCAGGGCGTTACTTTAAAAACAGGGCAGAGGTATAACTGACTTAAAATTAACAGAACCTAGTGCATACATTCTCCTTCCTAATACAAACTTAGAAGACACAATACTAAAATGTTTCATTACCTTGTGATCCCCCATGCAGACATTTGGCCCAATGTGGTCATATATTACTATCTTCTCATCGTTTTCTGACTAGTTAAAAAAAACCAAAACACAACAAAACACTAGTCAGTCCCCAGAATTCTCCAGATTACATACAGAAACAGAAAGAAACACGGAAATATTGTGCAAATAGGTCAAACCACTTTCTGAGAGAGGTGATATTAACACATCTTTGCCTGGCTTCTCCAGAGAAAGTCTGTGTAAAATGCACTTTATGTCCAATCCTGCCTGCAGTAATTTTTGTGCAGTTTATGCAGCAATTTGTGCAGTTTGCCCTCAGAACAGAACTCCTGATCTCTCTGCACCTCCTCCCCGCGCTGCAGCCTTGGGAAATGTTCATGGCTGACGCTGGGCTGGGGGAAATGAGGGACTCCTGGTAGCTGCATTCCAGGCTTCTGCTGCAAAATGCAGCTGGCATGTTTGACCAGTCCTTTTTAAAGAACAACACACAATTTTTATTGAATTAGGTGTGATAAATGTTGTTCTCTGAATTAAATGCAATACGCGTTGCCTTATAAAAGCATTTGATTTCATCATATAGGGGATTTTAAATGTTCAGAGAGATGAATGATTATTTTCAGGTTATGAATATAATCTTTAACAATTTCTCTGAGACAAATTTCTTCATCTGAAAAAAAAGCATTCAGTGATTTTATGAAAATCAGCAAATGAAAGATGACATTCCTCCAGTCTCCATTATGAATTGCTTTCATTTTGTTCCATGTCAAACTTTACTCTCACACACCGAACTTCTGAAGCATTTGTAGCTTAATGAACAATAAAATGTACTCATCTTTCTGCTGTTTGCAATAAACGTGATTTGGAGGCTCTGTTTTGATCCTCCAGCGCAGCACTTCAGAAATAAATACAAATACCTTGCCATACAAGACAACTTCTTATTATGCTAATTTCTATAAGCTAATTAAATCTGCAATCTGCACACTCTCCAGTCTCTAATACGATCATAGATGTGCTTTAAACTAGTTGGCAATACTAATTTATTTTGTGTGAAACAGTCAAGACTTTCTCATCTGTAATCAGTCAAGTTTGACTGGGCAATAACTTTATATAAACAGTAGCATTTAGGGACTATAAAGTTAAAACTGAATTATCTTTAGTGCAGTAAGGAAGCTTAAGGTCAGATTTACTTTATAGCACGGTTGCCTGCCAAAAATATAAAAACATAACCTTCTGCATTGTATGCATGAGCACTTTCCAATATTTCAAGATCATAATGCCACCAGCATCGGAAGTGGGGATACATTCATCAAAAGCGACTTGATAATTTACAAAGGCAGCATAAAATTGTGGATTTTCAACTGCATAATCTTTAGACAGATAAACAAATTACAGCAGTGCACAAGCAGAAACAATATCCACTTGGCTGAGCATTCATTACTTCATGCGATCAGGCATCAGCGCAGCTCCCGAGCAGTGGGCAACCTTTGGTGGTTTAGGGCTCAGGAAGCATAAAATAACATGATGGTGAGGTAACCGACCATGGCATGATAGATGATGTTGCATGAAAGCTGTTTACAGCCCCATGTCTGTACAATCTGTAATGCCTACTGTGTAGCTGAGCACACCGTGCAGTGGCAATTTGTGCACGCTACCCTTTCCCTACCTGCGATCTAAATGCAGATTTACAACAGTTTTGGTTTGGAATAAAATATAGAACTGCTAAGGCAGAAAAATAAACTCTTTATTTGCCTATATGAAAAATTAATACAGCAAAATAATTGCCTGCATAAGAATATTTGATAGGTAATTACAACAAAAAAGCCTTTAAAAATTCAAATAACATATTTAAAGGATTTGTTACAGTCTAATCAGTTAATTAAAATTGGCTTTTACTTTCTTCACAGTTCCTTTTAAAGCTTCAAAGTGCAGGTCTGGAGTAAATTCTCACTGCAAGGCCATTGCTGCTCCCTGTGCAGAGCCACAGAAACCTGTAAGGTCGTTTTGCCCTTTCCTCTATCAGCTCAGCATTCTTTTCTAAGGACTGTTTTCTGGGCCAGAATCCCAGGGTGGCTTTGGGCTGGATAACTCCCGTGCTGGTACAGACCCACCGGTTAGAGCCCTGTGGCAGCCTGGCCTCAGCAACACCCATCACACTGCACAGGTGTTTCTGGAGATGCCCCCAGCTGCCTGATCACAGTTTGCAAATGCAAAGCTCCACAGACAGAATTCTGTGCACTTTCAAAGGTAAGCTCTGAGTGATCCAACTGACTGGGTTTTTGTTACACAGACACTGGGAATTGGGTAACTCACCTCACAGTTACAAACTTCTCCAGTGCTCTAACTTTGTTTTCCTTTGTTTAATTTTCTCCCATTATATCCAAGTTATAGCCCTCTAGATAATCAGAAAGAATTCCTTTCCCTCTGTAGTGTTTACACTCTTCAAGCCTTTGTGTACACTTCTATCTCCTTATTCATAGCTTTAAGAAAAAAAAATCTTCCCTCATTGGCCACTCTTTCCATGGTTTTAATCCTTTGTTCTTTAGGAATTTCATGGGCACCAAGTACTATCTGTAATATTTTGTGTAAAATCTCACTTTTTCACATGATGTTTTTGCATAAGAAGATCAAATAACACTGATTTGACATTACTATTTGACTATAAAGCCTGTATTTCTCATAAGCTTCACAGGTTTCTTTAGTAAATACTGCAGTAAATGCATTGCCTAAAATTTGGGTGAAACTTTTGAGATGTCGTGCAGAGGACTTCTTACACATTAAAGTGTGTGAGGAAGTGCATTGACTTGAAATTCGAGTAGCTACAGAAAACATGTTCCCAGCCTTTCAGGGAGTTATATACTGCAAAGCAAACAGTCTAATCACGAGATAAATAACCCTGATGAGAGAGAAACAGAAGGTTATAAACTTCAGGAGAGCAAGTTTCAAGGGTGTAATTAATTTAAACAGGGAAAAAAAAAAGCCATGAAGCTGTAGGACATGGATTTACTTGCAAAGATTATTTTCTGTAATTCACTCCCATTAAACTGCATTAATTATACAGGAACACACAGACAGACACGGGACTTTGGGCAATTTGGGGTTTGGAAAGTGTCACAGTCACATAGTCTGGTCGGCAAGACCCCCTTGCTGCAGCAGTGCTGGAATGTGGCAGCACATCCATTCCTGCATCACGCCCGCAGCCAGAGGGGCAGGAAAACCAGCTGGGAGCAGAGAGATGTGGGAGAGATCTCCTCAAATCCCACACCCCTTCCCTGCTCTGTTCTGGCCCTCTGGGGCAGCTGGCAGCCTAGGGCCAGCAGGACAGGGGGCCAGGTGCCACGAGCAGGCACACAGGGAACACAAGCAGGGTAAGCTGGCAGAGGCTGACCTGGTCCAGTGCTCCCACAGAAAGGGGCAGAGCAAAGTGGAGCAAGGCAGGAGGAAACGTCAGGAAAGGAAAACTCGAAGGGTCCTGAACCATATTTAGGTCATTTAACTTTGGACAGAGTTATCACCAACTTTACCCTATCTACTTACCCTAAAATCACAGCAGGAACTGTACGTTCTGAAAATGTTGCACAGCAATATCTTTAAGGCTCTAATGGAGTGTCTAAATGTAGGCATCTAATTGGTGCACCAGAGTTAGGGGCCTACTTGCTGGAGACTGCCCTCAGTCAGGGACAGTGACAGATTTGGTCCATCTAGGACTTACATATCCTTGGGAATACCTTGAGAAATCTACCCTTATGTAACTTAGGTGCCTCCAGCTGTTGCTGGACAGGTTCTTCTCTCAATTACATGACTTCTCAGCCAGCACCACTCGTACCTGCTTCCATCTGCGTCCCTGTTGAATCTTTGGGACAGGCAGTGCTGTAGGGTGGACTGGGCTGGGGCACTGGTAGGGCCTTTGTATTTTCTGTTACTGTCTTTAAAGCAGGCAGTTTCCCAGTGCTGTGCCCGCAGTACAGCACTGAGGAGCACAGAGGGGGCATGGGACAGAGGTCAGGCAGCCAGCGTTGGCAGCTCAGACACCAAAAGAAGCTTTTGGTCACTGCCAGCAGGTTACTGGGGACAAATCCACCCTCTGGGGTGCAAAACACTGGAAGCACCTCCCTTTCTTAGTGCCATGGTGTGCTCTCTGCAGCCTGGAGAGCGTCTGCCACAGGCAGGCTCAGGGACAGGCAGTTCTCCCAGCCCCAGGTGCAGAGCAGTGCGGTGTGGAGGCAGCGGGAGGCTGCAGGTCTGTACTTACTTTCAGAATGAGCTCCTTGGCTGAGTGGGACATCAGGATTCTGTCGCACCAGGCTGGACATCTCGTGTTCATGTACTGCTTTCCCTGGCTAGAATCCTCACTGTAGGGATAACTGCAAACAAATCCCAACCACATCCATCAGTGACTCTTTGCAAAGCATCCTGAAACCTCTGGCTCAAAGGGCCACACTAATTACAAAATTTCACTGGCAAAAAGCAGCTCTTCTGGACACCTCTTGTATATGTTTTTCTTTCCTCCTCCCCCCTTCCTTTTCATGTGCTTTCTCTATGTCTTTTCTCAGATATACAACCCTACATGTTAAGACACACACAGTTCAGAAAGTCTCACCTCCTGCCTTGTGCACATGAGAGTGTTTAAAGACAGCAAACTGTTTATCTATGTGGAAGTAGGAAAATCAGTTCAACAACAACTTCAAATCAGGCACTTGACTGTGACTGTGGAAAATGTATACAGAGAAGATGAAAAAGGAAACCTATGGAAAAAAAAAAAAGTTCATATCTGGATTTCTTCGCAGGATTCTCTCAAGGAGAGTTATCCAGGAACAATTTACAGAAAACAGAGTTCAGAGTGCTGGGATCACTGCAGCTGTACAAACCTCCCCTGGACAGATTCTTTTAGAGTGACAGAAGGGAAGACAGGACAAGACAGCAGGTTTTGCGGGGGATTCCTTCAGAACCAAGGAATCAGGAATGTGGTTTAGGGAAAACTATGCTGACTACATAAGATCCTGAAGCTCTCTATGAAATTGTATTAAGAAAAAGTACATTATTTTGTAAAGATATCTTGAACAGAAGCTGATTAAATGGTAGTTATGCTCTGGGGTCATCACAAACGTGCTGTGGCATCTCCAGTGCATTCTAATGTAGCTTTAGAAGGCAAAAGAAACTGTTTATTTTACTCTGCAGGATCTAACTAGAGTTAACACACCTGTGTGAGCCCATGGGCTGAAATCTTCTGAAGCACCTGAAGGGCAAACTCTGGCTCAACCTCAGCAGGCTGAGGCCAAAGTTCCTCTTATCTCTTACAAGTGTTCTCACTGGTTTAGTATGATAGAACTTTGTATTTGATGATGGCTCATCACACTGTAAGGCCCCCTGTTTTCCAAAATGGCATAGAGGAGTAGCCAAGGAGGGGTTTGGAGAAATCCAGAGGGTTTGTGACAGGCTCAATTTCTTGAACGTTCGGCCTGAGCGAATTAAAGTTTGCCCTTGATAAATGTCTTAAAAAAATAAATCTACATAAGTCTGTGTGAGTGCATTTAAAATGACATTTGCATTTTATTCTGCTCATCACTGAATTCATAAAGGAAATACTGAGGTTTTTCTGATATGTGTGTTAAAATAAAATTTCTGGTATCGTAACAAAAGGGTTTGCACGCTTGAAGAGAAACTTATTTACCACCCTGCTTGGTGTGATGCTCTGAAACAGACATATAGCTCTCTACCAAATGGGTTTACAAGCTACACTGCCATTACAAAGATTAGCCATGGCAAACGTCCAAGAAAAGCGTTCTGAGCGTACTGGAACAAACCAGTGATCTCAGTACCTTTTCCACCTCATCAAACCTAACAAGACTCATTTTCAAAACATATTATGAGAATTCAATTTGCTGCTTCACTGACATACAGAAGTACAGCTTATTTCTGAGTGTCTGTGAAATATTTTGATGATGTAATACTATTGGTAGTAGAAGCTCTTTGTCTGCAATTTAAGGGTTGACTTTTTCTCGTAACCTCTTACTTCAGTTACTCCAGAACCCCACATAACTGAAGCTACTTTCTGTGACTTAAGGTATAAGAATCAATCACATTTCACATAATCCTTCCTTTTAGGCTATTAACTGTATGGCTTTTGAAGTATGATGTTCCATGCCTAGAATGATCTGTTACTGCTATGTGTTACAGCATTTCACCCAAGAGCCTATACTCTATGAAATGGTATTTATCAATTTGCTTTATTGATCTTAATGTTATCTCAGGGTGAAAACTTCTGCAAATTTTTCAAGGTCTTTAGCACCGATCAGCCAGTCAAGAAGTTACTGTAGTTTACAAGTATCTTTGACAAATCAGATTTCTAATGGCTGGGACAGAGATAAAAATAAATGCTGCAAAAGTTATCCAGACAAAATGACCTGTAGGTAATAACTTAATACAGTGGGGTAAGCTCTTCTTTTTATAAGGCAGAATCCTTCCTTCCAGCCAGAAGTGTGGAGGGTTCTGTCTTGCTGCACTCTAATAAGCCTTCTCCCTCCCTCCATCCCCTTTGGGGTGTGCAAGTCCCACTCTCAGTGAAATGCTGACACTCACATAATAAAAAATCCTAATGAGATACATGCCCAAAAAATAAGGGCAAGTAACTATTTGCTCTCCTCCTTCATGCTCTAGAGGGGTCAAAATTTGGAATATGCAGGATTCTTTTGTAGATGGGCAAACAGTGGTCATATCTAAATAGGACTCAAAATTTCCATGAGGGATTCTTTTTTTCTGTGACTCATTGGATTGTGGGTACAGGATACTTCAGTTTGTTATATGCTACTGATCATAAATAGATTTTTGCAAATAAGAGCTCTGTTAGGGGTTTCTGGAATAAAACTCATGGAAGAAATTTTTGTGAAGCATGCTGCTGAATGTGAAGTATTCCAGGCCAAAACTGTCCAAATACCATACACCCCTGAAGTTGTCTCCATCAAACTGTTCTGTAGCTAAATGAATATGGCATGAAAATAGTGTGACTGCTTCCAGAACTGAATCACCTGCCTGTGAGCTCTGAAGCTTTTGCTTAGTTGGGAGTGTTTTTAAGGGTCTTCTCCCCAAAGGATACTCTGGTGTCTTACATGACGTTACCTCCTTTGGATGCCTTCCCACCAGCTGGTGGGATTATAAACCAGTCAAGACAAGCAATGGAAAGAGAAGCCTGAGAGATGCACAAGCATTTTGGGAAGCCAGGCTGATGATTCCGGTGCTGCTACAACAGAAAATGTCGCGGAATTAAAGACTCAGGGAAAATGTCCAAAGCCTCAGACCTGTCCCGGTCCAGCACTCAGTGCCAGCCACGGACACGAGCTCTGTGCCCAGGAGATGGCCCCTGGGTGTGCTGTGCATGTGTGTGCTGGGCTGGCACTCGGCCCCACAGCCAGGGCTTCAGGAAAACTGGGACACAAAGGCACAACATTCTCTTTGCTCCTTCCCACCCAGCCTCTGCCCAGACAGCACAGATCATGATGGAGCCCAGGGAACTAGAAAATATTTCCACTGGCTTCAGTGGGTAACCAAGACACGAGTGTGCCAATACACACTGATATTTGACCATTCTGGTTTTGTTCTTTCCAGGGTGGCTTCACAATTTCCCTCCTCCTTCCTTCCTTTCAACCCCACTTCTCACCTGCTTCTTTGCCATCAGACATGAATAGTCTCTTTCAAAGAATACTGTAAATTTAAGGTTGTGTGCGTGCAAAAAGCAGAACCATTCTTGTAATACCCATCTTCCAAAAGACATTGAGTATAATATTGTCTACAATCAAGTGCATTAAACTAGATTTGTTTGCTGGCATCTCCAGCCTCTTGAAACACATTCAATCCAAGCAAATAAGGAACTCACGGTTCTTAATTCAAAACTAAGTAATTCTAGTTAACAGATTTTTCTCATCTTTGAATTGTAGAAATAATTACAGGTTTGATGAAAACAAATGCAGATCTAATAAAAAATAATTTTAAAGGCCTCTACATCAAATAATCAAAAGTTAAAAATTCCAGTGTCAGTCTCCAGAGGGAAAGTGTTGTGCCATCTTTCTGTGCTTGCATCATTAGTCTTAACCACCAGGACGGTGACTGTGGTAGAGGAAAAGGGAGAACCAACTCTCCATGCCCCAGAATTACACAGGAAAGGATGTATTTTTCTCCCCTATCAGCAGAATTCTGCCTCAATCACAATCCACCTTGTGCAGTGCAGAGAAAACAGTGATCTTGAGAAGGAATAGTGAGTGCTCGTGTAAAAATGATGACATAACAGATAAAGGCCTCTAGGTACCACTGAAACATAAATGATAAACAGATACAGGTGCTGTAGGCCAGGTAAGGCTGTACACACTTCCTAACCTTAGGAGGCTGTATGGTTACAGGTGATGTCACCATCACAGCCATCATCGATAGTTTGTTACACACACTATTATATCTACTTAAAAATGCAATGGGGAAATGAGGAATTCCATGTGGAACAACTTTTCTGCCCTGTTTAAAACAGGAGCAAAGTTGGAATTTAGGACCTTAACCACTCATGTCAGCAGAGTAATAGCAGAATTAATAGCAGAATTAGAATTAGAATTAATTAATAGCAGAAATAGTCTGATATTCTCTGTGTATGCCAGTCAGCAGAGTTATGCAAAATGCACTTGGACTGTGCCTGCACTGGATGATGGAGGGACAGGCAGTTTTAGAGCTGAAGTATCTCTTTGAAAGGCCTGTACAATTTATCTCCAGTTGTTTAGGATTTGCTTTTTCTCAGTATGTTGCTTCTAGCTGCTTTTCCATCTTATTTCACAAACTTTTGTTTCAGTTACGCTTATTTAATCAGGATTACGGTCAGGTGGGTTTTCTGAATAAAACTTCCAGCAACACCACTCATATAATGCTCAATGTTGCTGAAATTTAACCAAACACTTTGATGAATTGCTAACTCTGTTAATAAGGAGCAGGCTGTCCAGTGAACTACTGGTGTCACAGTCAATAATGATGAGAGCTACTTGGCAACTGTTTAGGGAAAATAAACCATTAAGAGGGTCAGTAATATCAGAGCACTACTGCTGTTGACAGGTATTGTCAAAGATGATTAGACACCTTTACAAAAATGCTTACTGCAGGGTGAAAAGCCTTCCGACATCGTAAACCATCCTGTCAGCAGAGCCTTAACTTGAAACACATGCCAACAATGCTGTGTATATAAATGTCTCCTTAACTGGCATTTCCAGTCAGGAAAAATGCTCCTAATGAACTCTTCTCTTGTGTAAGAATGGATAAAATCTGCTAGTGACATGAGTGAAATGTACTTTCCAACAGGAAACAATGAAATCCCTTTGGAGGACTCTCACCTTTACCA